CATCCATGAAGTTGAACAATAAGTCCTTGTCTGACATATCGGTGACTTCTAATGTGAGGGTTGAAAACTCTTTGACATAGTCATGGAGGGAGTCGCCGTGCTTGAGAGTCTTCATCTTGCGACGAGCGAGGTATTCCACGTTCTCTGGGTAGAACTGTCTCTTCAGCTCTTTTTTAAAGTCAGCCCAGGTACGGATAACACACGTACCATGTTCTATATCAACACACCTTCTGCGCCACCACAACATAGCGACATCAGTCAAATACATAGTAACAGTACGTACCTGAGTCATTTCATCAATCACATTGGCGGCGGCAAGGTACTGTTCCATTTGCCACAGGAATTTGTCGAGCTCTCGTGCATTGCGGGTACCCAAATAGGGGGTTGGCTCCCTAATCTTGATGTGGGAGGGAGTATGTGTAAAGGAAGTGCTGGTTGGATTAGCGACGGCCCTCTTTAGGATTGCACATTCTGCTTTGAGCTCCTCTAATTGAGCTTGGGTGTCAGAGGAGGCACATGCGGCGGACTTCATTGAGGCCCACTCCGCTCTCATTTCATCTAGTTGGGCCTAGACGGCCATTGATGTGGAGGTGCTTCTTCTCCACGTTGCCCACTCGTTCTTCATCTCATCGAGCTGGGCTTGAAAACTATCAAGCCTGTCTTGGACCTGCGAGTTGGAGGAGCTTGCTTCTTGTTGGCGCACAATGCTGCAAATTTGCTTGAGCGTGCCATTGATTATGTCTCGGACCTCGTCCACAACTCCTCTCAAGCGACCTTCAATCTCGACCAGTGTGTTGTCCATGGCTTCCATGTTTTGATGCAGCTCGTCTATCGAGTCTCGCATCTCACCTACGGTGGCTTCGCAACGTAGTATGCGCAACTCAACGACTGCATGCTTGTTGGAAGATTTCTCACGTTTGTTGGGCTTCGGTTCCTTGTCCTTGCCGATGTCATCGGTGGGCGCATCATCGGCCTCATGGGCTGTGGAGAGTCCATGCTCGATCTCCTCCACGATGTCCCTGTTGTGCTTCATGCTGTCACTCACGTCGTGGGTCGAATGGCTTAAAAGGAGCTCCCGCTCTGATACCAACTGTCACGGGGATAATCGTTGGGGCCCCGTGCGGCACTCGAAAGGGGCGAGTAAGCCTACGCAACAAAGCAAACACACACAAAAAGGCAACAAGATGGAACACGAATTAACAAAAGGCTATTTGTATTGCAATAATCAGTGGCAWKCACAAGCACACAGTACAGTGTCGAGGGGATCTCGTGCTTAACCTTTACACGCTTATGAGCTCACTCGACTACCTAGAGTACGTTAAGCTTTTGGGGAAGTGACAATAAGAAACATCAAATAGGTGGGAAATCATACTACAGTATTACAATAATGCCATTGGCAATCCCCCCATACAAAAGTACATGCATAGCCCACCCATGACACACTTGGACACTGGAGTGGCGGCTGTAGGCACGTTGGTTGGCACTTGATGGTGTGACGAAGAGAACACTTGTTACACTGTCAAATATTTTTATATCTTTATCGCATCAACTGCCAAACATTAGAACTAGATCATTGTAGTTCCAGTCTTTAAGCATTGAAGATTACATTATGTTGGAATCATATGCTATTTGTTCTTTTACTTGAAGTAATAATTACATAAGATATTTACCATATTGCCTTCATGACTCATTACTCTTACAACACTGATATCCAACTGTCAAGGCGTGTAAACACAAAATGATCAAGCAAGAACCTAATGAGAACTTTACTGACTTGATAACCTGGTGGAGGGCCAAAGTAGCCCAAGTGCTTAATAGGTCCACAGATGAGGATCAAATTAAAATGGTCTTAAAGAGATTAAACCCAGGATACTGTAGTAGGTTGAACTTAAGTTACCACCCTAGCTTCCAAAATGAAAATTGGTGAACTTTGATAATTAAATTCCATTTTCATTATCTCTAGATATGAATCATATGGAACACTTGGGAGCATTTAGACTCAAGGCTGAAAGAATTTATACTCACAAATTCACAATATGCAACAAGCATCTACATGAACCTAAAGGTTTACTCTTGTGAGGTAATGTCTTTAATCTAAGCAAGCATCAAGATATTAGAGCCACACAGGCCTGATGAGTTTTTTTTTTTTTTTTTCTTTTTAGTAGCAGCATGGCCAACCTCAGGTCTCAGACTTTCAGCAAAAGAGCAAGGATCCTATGGAACCTGACTCCTTTTGCTATCTGTTGGAACCTTTGGTGGGAGAGAAACTGTAGAATATTCAAAAGGACATGCAGTCCTGGGAGGAAATAGTATCAAAAGCAGAGGGTCTTCTGATTAATTGGGCATGTATCCTTAAGAGTTTCAGGGTTTTTCCTTTTAAGAATTTCAGGGATCAGTGGAGACAGATTGTTTTTTGCTTGGATCCCTAGTCTGTGTAAATTATCTGTACTGTTTTGGAGGGAATCCTTCCCTCCCTTTATTGAATATACTCACCATTTCTCAAGAAAAAAAGAATATTACATATTTTTAGCCTGGTTAATCTGTGGGAAGTGTGGTCTTGATGCTGCTCTTTAGTATGATGTCCTTCACGCTGACTATGGAGGGTCATCATGTTATCCTCCATTAGGGTTTTTGTCAATTGCATTATAATTTTGCTCCTCCTGAGCCATTTCGTTTGTTTAAATGAAATACTTGTTATCGGGTATCATTAACCCTCTTACTTCAAACAGCAAACAAATAAAGTTATATGGCATTTGAAGAAACGACAAAGTTCCCAAATAGAATTCAAAGAAATGAAATTAAATATATAATAACTATAATTCAAAATCTTTAGCAAGCTAATTCTTTGATGTGTATATTCAATTGGATCAACACCAAGTTGGTATTATTTCTGTATCTCCCAGTCTATGGATACCGGCCCAAACCTCAATTTTGCAAGTTTTTAACTCCTGATTGGAAGCTGACCTTGTTTCAGTCGGGATCTTATATCATTGTTTTGTTAGTAACATTAAGATAGAGTTTTTAAATTTAGTTCATGACTTCTAAGTGTGTTCTCAACTTCTTTTTTTGGCCATCCCATAGAGACAGTTACTCAAAATGTTTGCCCTGGAAGATGTTTTATGTGGGACATACGAAAGGGCTCACATCCTGTGATCTGTGAAAATTATGATACATTTACGTTTCTATTTTATTAGTGTAACCGGTATCTCCCCCAAATTGAAATACTGTGGATGGGATGCCTACCTTTATCCCTATATATATATATATATTCATTTATTTATGTTTCTTCTTTTTCAATCATGAACAGGCAGTGGAGCTGTGTCTTGACGCTTGCTCGAAACTTGGGGATGTCATGAGATCGTGTTTAAAAGAAGCTGCTTCTGCATCACAGGAATAGAGATATATGCTTGTCTTCACATTTTTCTAATTGGTTGTTTTTCTTGAGTAAACAGTCAGTTACAGAAAATCTCTTATTGAAAAAAATTTCTTGTCAAGCTAAATTGACCGGCCAATTTTGATTATTTTATTTATTCAATTTGAATTTTCCACTAGTGCCTTTTACCCATTTCATTTGGAATGAGTACAAATACAAATATGTAGAGTGCAAAACTGTGTATTTTGTATGTGTTTGTACTGTACATATTTGTATTTGTACTAAACTGAGCCTAACTCTTTCCAAATTGAGCCAAAAGGTTTGAGTTTTGAAATGCATTCAACAGTCAAAAGTGGTACTATTCCAGCATGCGAAGAATTTGCTCCTCGTTGTGCTTGCTTTGATGGAAGCCAACATTCTGTTGTGGATGTCATCATGAATGGTAAAATATCAGTTGGTCTATGCATGTTCATGGAGTCACAGTCAATGCACTCTGGTCCTGATATTGGAGGAGCTCTTCTCTTTCAACATTTGGACGGCATTAGCGAGCGCCAAGAGACTTTTGCTGCACCCTCGACTCGTTGTGCTGGGGCTTCAGGATTTTGGCCTCTTCCCCTTCAAACTAACTACAAATTCCGAATTGCTTCCAAGCTTGCATTGGCTTCTGGATTGAAGTTGTGGTAGTAGATAAATGATTGGTTCCAATTATCTTTTTAACTTTTCATAGTCTATCTAGTTTCCATTGATCACCATACTTACTGGATCATATGTATAGGCCCAAAGCACACCCGTTGTCTCATTTGGCAATCCCTCCTGTGTGATTATGGTGGACAGTGAGAAGAGCACATCTGCCATGCAGCATTGCATTTTTCGAACAATTGTTGATACATTTTCCTTCTATTTCATCCATGATTCATTGCACGAAAGTTGAAATAGACCCCCACGGGCTGCTGTTGCTGTAGCCTGTAGAGAAATATCGATTTACGTTTACCTACCGCTACCAGAGAGAGGGCTGGACCCGATTTGGACCATATTGGTGTGCAAACTATAGGCTTGACCACCCCGAGATCAGTGGGTCGGTAGAAGACGATGACATCGCTTGTGGTCTTTTGATGGATTTTAGACCGTCAAAGTTGGGGCTTGATGGACTGATGGTTTAATGGTTCAAGTTCAGCCATTCCTTAATCCTTCACAGTTCACACAAATATCTTTTCCCATAAATATCTCAACTTTTACCTTTTACGTATTTCTGGTAGCAGGGGTTGTTGCCTTGGCTTCTAGCGCAATCCGCTATAAAAAGAAGCTAATCCTATGCTCTTTCTATCCTTGTCTTTCACTCTTTCACTCCTTGTGTGGGAAGAACCTTATCAGGTGAAATTAGCCATGGCCTCTTCTCTCGTCCTCCCATCTCTCTCTCCCAAGGCCCCAGCTTTCTCTATAACCAAAAACCCTTCCATCTGTCTCTTCTCTTCCTCTCTGTCTCTGACCAATTCCCAGAATAAACCCATTTCAGTTTCCTCTTCTTCTCCCTACCAAATTCTGTCGTCTCGTTTCGTCCCCAAGGTAGCTGTTTCGTCGGAATTCGAACAAGAAGAGGAGGTTTTGAGCGATGGAGGCGAAGCTCCTTTCTCTCCTGACTTGAAACTCTTCGTGGGTAACCTCCCCTTCAGCGTTGATAGCGCCGGGCTCGCTGGTTTGTTCGAACAAGCAGGAAATGTTGAGATGGTTGAGGTGGGCTCTGCTTTTTATTTTAGTTTTCTTTTGTTTGTTCTTTGAGATATTGCCAGGGTTTCGGGTTTCCGGCCTAGCGGTATCGTGTAAAGTACAAGGGTTGTTGGATTTTTTTTTATAAGATTTCATCTTTTCTTCCTTTTAATTTGCTCTTTCATACATTGCTATTTTCTGTATAACTTGCAAATGCATATAGGACTGGTTTTTAGAACACGCTTTGCAAACATAAGTGTTATTATGCAGGTAATTTATGACAAGCAAACCGGAAGAAGCCGGGGATTTGGGTTTGTGACCATGTCTACGGTTGAGGAAGTTGAAGCAGCTGTTCAGCAGTTCAATGGTTATGTAAGTTTTTATCTTCCAAACTCTTTATTTGATAATGCAATTGCTTCTTAGTCGTTTCTTTTTCGAAGATTGGAAAAGGGCTATTCTTTTTTGACATTCGTTAATAGGACCATCCATTTTTTGCATATTTATTTGCAGCAGCCAGCAGGTGCCCCAACATTTGCTCCAGTTATGTTTACATTTTCCAGAGAAAAAGATTCAAGAGCATCTCTTTCTCCTAGAAACACATATTTTGTCTAGATTTTGACTCTGTGGCTACTCATCATCTGAGTTGCACATTTACCTCAATTTCATGTAATTGATAAAAACCCGTCACATCATTTAAAGCTTAATCAACAAATGGTCAAAAGGTAAGACCGTTCTTTGTAAGAACTGAAAATTTTAATCTTTCTGGATTCAAAATTTGCCCTGGTTTTATACTCTTGGAAATTCTTAACCATTCTCAAGACCAAATCAACATTCAGATCCTTTGATGTTTTATGTTCCAAGTAACACTGTAACAGGATAGGCCTTATTCTAGTGGGCTACTTGATAATGGATTAAGTGGCTGAACTGAATGACTTTTTGCTTTCCCTTTTAGTGAATAAAATAATAATATAATAAAATATTCAAGGTTATGGCAAATAATCTACCTTCAGCTTCAGCCATTAAGGAGTTCACAACCTCTTCAATAACTTAGTAAAAGACAAAGCAATAAATCATTCAGTTCAGTCAGTCAATTCAGCTGTCATCAATCGTCCCCAAAGTATCTTACAAAAACTTAAGTTCTGTGGCTTTGTAAAGACTGTTAGAGTCCCTGACAACAAAAAAAAAAACCTTTGGTGCTATTGCAGGAACTTGAAGGGAGGGCAATAAGGGTGAATTCTGGACCTCCCCCTCGTAAGGAAGAGTTTTCGTCAAGGGGATCACGAGGCGGGACAAGTTTTGAGGCACCTCATAGGGTCTACGTGGGCAATCTTTCATGGGGTGTGGATGACTTGGCCCTTGAGAGCTTGTTCAGTGAACAAGGAAAAGTGATGGAGGCCAAGGTGGTGTATGATAGGCAGAGTGGTAGGTCAAAGGGTTTTGGATTTGTCACCTATAGCTCTGCTGAGGATGTCGACAATGCAATTTCGTCCTTGGATGGTGCTGTAAGTACCTAAAGCTCCTTGTGTATGATTTATTTATTTTATCTCTAAATTATTTTATGTTTTCTTTGCCAATTAAATATAAGCAAATTGATTTTGTGGAAAAAGTAACAAATCAAAAATCTCTGAAGTTCCAAATAGAATGCATTACAGTATTGGAGATTGTGTATTTTATTCATGTCCATTCATTTTTTACCATGCATGGTGTCATACACAGGTAGAGGCATATGCACATGAGCATCCATCCATATGTATCACCAATACTTTGTTTATAGTATGAGATTTTTCAATTCTACTTCTTAGGCAGTCCCTGTTAATTGTGGGTCTAATAAAAATGGGCAGCCTAGTGCATGAGGCTCCCACCAAGGTCGAAATGGAGTAACCACGGTTGCGCCAAGGCAACCAATTGTGGATCTGTTCACAAAGGGTTCATGATCCATTTAGTTCTTTTTTTCTTTGTTTGTGATGGATAAGTTTACATTTGACTGTTATGATTATTTTCGTAGTAATCATTTTATTCATATTGTAGAAATATAAAATAGTAATTACTTGTATTGTTTCCATCCAATTCTTTTTCTGATTAATTTGCTTCTGGAAACATGTGGTACAGGATTTGAATGGCAGACCAATCCGTGTATCAGTGGCAGAAGCGAGGCCAAGACGACAGTTTTGATTGTTATACCTCTTCAACTTATTTTTAAGTGAAGAAAGTTAAAACGTTAGGTTGATTTTAACCCCCAGTCATTTTAGTTATTTTTTGTTTCATTCCTTTAGTCATAATATGCTTTTGTGACCTGTTTTCTCAACTCATTCACATGGTTGAGCAGTAAAAAACATTCTATTTAGCTGGAATTATTATGTGATCTTTCCTGGATAAGTCACTTGTGTTAGCCTTGCAGTGGTATGAGATGATCAATCCGGATCATCCATCAAATGATGATTGTGTAGCTTGGCTGCTTGTTCCTCCAGGAAACATTTGGAAACCATTTTAAGGAGCCATCTTAGATATCACAAGGAAAATAGGCTTATCGTGTGGACCGTCAGTTATTTAGAAGCCTGATAGTCCATATTTTTGTCTTTTTCCGTTTGGTGGAGAAAAGATCTAACTGTTAAAAGACGCAGCCCTAAAAAGATATGGAAAGCCTGTTTTGGGCTATTTTTGGGAAGTTCCAAATGGAGCTTTTCGACTTGTTTCGTTTCGTCTTCGTGTGGAAAGATGCCCCTCCAACCAGATAGGCTGTGGACTGCCAAGATTTCTATGTAAAAGTTCACTATTGACTATCAAATCTTCCAGAAGATCTTTCAAAAAAGACTTGTCAAATGACACCCTAATCTTATTTGGATTCTCTGCTGCCTCATCTATTGAATTTTCTCCTAGGAACTACTATAAAATCTTTCAAACGGAGTTTTCTCTCTCCACATGTATGTGGGTTAGAACTTTAGAGGTTTACCTAATTAAAGTTTTGAATTGTTTGGGGTTTTACCTCTAAGTAGCTGTTATTAACTAATAATAACTAGGATGGTCATGAGAGCTCCAGGGATCACTCTCATCCTGCTTATGGTTAAGTCGATCAATTATACTGATTCTTTTTGGTTGGCTTAACAATTGCAGTGTGTCTCCTCTAGCCACATTTCTCGTACTGAGAATATTACTTATCATGTGCTGGCTATTTGTTTTCGGAACTGTCTGTAATCACAAATACGTGTGTGACCTGGAGAATGAACCGGTCAGGGGTTTGGCTCTTGGGTCAAACTGTCTGACCATTTGAATCGAACGGTTGGTTTGTTTTGACAAAAAATAAAAAACTTTAAAAAATTTAAAAACGGTCAAAACCATTCAAATAGTTTGAACGGTTAATTGCCCGTGTTAGCAGTTTGCTGACCAAAATTAACAATTTTTGGAAAATTTTCAGTTTTGGGGAAAAACGGAACCAGTCTGACTGTTCAGTCCTGTCTGGTTTTGAAAACCATGGTCAAACTAGAATATTACTTCTCATTTACTTTCTTCGAATTAAATATTAAAGCTCAGTTTGGAAGGAATACAAATACAAATATGTAGAATGCAAAACCTTGTATTTTGTATGTATTTGTATTGCACATATTTGTATTTATACTCTCTCCAAACTGATCCTAACAGTAAAAAAAAAGAAGAGCATCACTGAATTCTTTAAAGAAAATCTACCTTGAAAGACAAATTCCATGGTTTCCTTGTTGCAATGTGTCATGCGTGTCTTGAGAAGATAGGTTCTTTTTTGGATATATAAAGGAGTTAGTTGGGATGTAGTAAGCTACATTCTCTCCACAAGCGTATCTGGGCATCGGTGAGATCCGCATATTTTTGCCGTTAGATGATCAAAAGTGTAAACTCTTCTAATAAGACCTGTTCACGGACCCGGCTTTGGGCTCGGTTCATAAACATTTTATACTGTTTTGGGTTCGGGCTTCAAGTGAATGTAATGAAATTTTGGGAAAATTTAAGTCTGAGTCCTACTTAAGAACAGATTTGCTTGTGATGTATGTGTTTTTTTAATTTTAAATTAAGGGCTAATTACTTGGTGTAATGATAAAATCTCAGAGAAATGTGGGTTTGAGCCAGAGTGGTCACTTTGTGAGAAAAAATGTCAAACGTTAGGATCATATGTTGGCATTTTATGGTTTTAGTGATTCAGATTAAATACTTGAAGCTTGTTTGTTTTCAAATTAAATACAGAGGTGCATTCTCTCCACCTGCATGTATTTATTGTGTTTTACATTTGATTTATGTTTTGAAATTAAATACAGAGGTGCATTCTCTGCACCTGAACCAGTGCACATGGCTGGGCTGGGCTGGGCTGGACTTACACAGATGCCCACCTGCCGCGCTGGATTGTAGGAGCCAAGAAAAGGTAAAAGGTGATGTTTTTCTTTTGCTAGCTCTCCGTTTAGGTTAGTTTTTTCACACATAAACTTGCTTCTTGGTTTTTACCTTCTTATAGTGAACTTGTTTTCTTCTAAATGCTGTTTTGGGCATATGTAGCGTGTTTGTTGGTTCTCTCTTTTGGACTGTGAGGGAACACACACCACGCCAAAACTGAGAGTTATTGTATCATGGAGGCCAACCGCCTAAAGCCTTCTGTAACGACGTATACTTTCTAAGAAGTGGAAAAATTGATTTTAAGGAGAGCGTACATTGCCACAACTCGAACTATTATCGATGAACTTCTCGTTAGTAGACTGAAATATACTCTTATTTGGCATTGGAACTTCATTTGCTTGCTATTGCCGTCATATATCTTTACTATTTGCAACATTATATCCAGTCCACCCCTTTCAAGACCCCGATAGCTGGGATCAACATTGGGTAATAAGCCTTAGTATTTTTATTGTAGACTCCAATGAAGTGCAGAAAGGAAAAAAAAAAAAAAAAAACTTTTAACTGATTGATAGTGTATATTCATCAAATCTGATGGTATTGGGTGCATGTATTAGGATAATCCTAATGATAAAATTGTAGAAAATTCAAGCTAAAGTTGAAGATTTATGGGATCAACTTTAAGTGAAGTGAGACCAACATGTGTTCCACCCCTTTGATCTCTATTATCTGTTCATGCCTTAACGGCCAGTGATGTTGAAAATTAGGGGTGCAATTTGGGCAGGCCCAGCTTGAGCCCGAACCGACCCAGCCCGAAATTTTACATGGGTTGAGCTTAGATTTTCAGTCCTTGGGCTGGGCCTAGCCCTTAGGTAGCCCAAAGCTGGCCCTAGTCCAGCCCAACTATTATGTAAATTTTATATACATACTTACATATATATAAAGATATTTGTATGTATATAAAATTTACATATAGTTGGGAAAATTATTATTAATTACCATTCCAAATTAATAATGAGAAAAATTATCAGTAATTAATTATTATTGAACATAAAAAACCAATTATTCAAAAATAATTAAGGTCATTAAACAAAGAGTAATTAAAATTATTTAGTAAATAATAATTTTTAGAAATTAAAATTAATAATTAATTATCTGTCCGAATTAAAATGGGTAATTTTAAGTAATTAAAATTTTCTATTAAAWTTTTTTAATAATAATCAGTATTATTAATAGATTAATAATATATTAGTAATTATGAAATCAGTAATAATAATAAGTATATTATTATTATTAACTAATAATATATTCTTATTATGTGTGTATTGGTTTTGAAATCCGTAATATTAAAGTATTACTATTATTACTATTATTATTGTTTTATTTTTATTTTTATTAAGTAATTAATTTGTTATAATTACGATATTTAGTTAATTCATAAAATAATATTTGCTTTTATAATTCTTTAAGTTTAACAATATTGAATAATTAAAAATTTTATAATTTAACTTTCACTAAATGAAGTATTTATTTGAGAATAATAATGGTATTAATTATAATTACTTGTAATAATAATAATGTAAATAAGTAACACTAATTATATATTTATAAAATATTTAATATGCATTAATGTTAATATAAAATGATTATATCCCAATTAATAATTAACATTATTAAAATGCTTATTAATTATCATAAATTAATTAACATTCCGAAGTAATAATTATCATCTTTAGTATTAGTAATAATTAATTATAATTATTGATAATAATAATTATATTAATTAATTATAATAATATAATTAATTATTTCATATAAATGTATGAATTATAATTTCTGATAATAATTATAATATAAATAATTAACATTAAATATTTATTTTCAAAATCATTAATATGAGTTAATATAAATATAAAATGATTATTTCTGAATTATTAATTACCATTATGAAAATATTTATTAATTATCATTTCGAATTAATAATGAGAAATATTGTCAGTAATAAATTATCAGTAATTAAGTATTACCAGTAATTATTATAAGAAATTATTTTTCAAATTAATAATGAGCAATATTATCACTAATTAATTATTATCGGCAATTATTATAAGAAATTATTATCAGTAATTAATTATTATCAGTGAGTAATTATTATTATTAATTAATAGCTAAAATTAATTAATTAGAAGTTGTTAACAGTAATTAATTAGTAATTAACAATAATTATTATTAGTAATTAATAACTGTAATTAATTAATTAGAAGTAGTTAACGGTAATTATTATTAATAATCAATAGCTGGAATTAATTAATTAGTTTAATATATATATATATATATATATAATTAACTTCCCCGTACTTAGTACGGGGTGATTCACTAGTTACAGTAGATTGGGAAGATTGGGCTTAACCTTGGGCTTGAACCTTAAGCCTAAATTTTAGGGCCGGGCAGGGCCTAGGTTGACCATAAACCCAGGCCAACCCGCCTGACATGCACCTCTATTGAAAATATTTCCAAGATCATGTAACAGATAAGGATAAAATTCCCCTACATCGACATGAAGATGGGTTAATTGGCGATGGTAAGTGATGTGGCAAAGTTATGGACGATTTGATGATCTGGAGATGTGCTTCCAAGTCTGAAGAGCAAATAACATGTATGCTTGAAAACGGAAAACCCCAAATCAAGAAACTGATGAATAGGTTAGACTAACTAATTAGACAATGACATTTGTCTGCAATTGAATGACGGTGATTTTATTTGCCTTTGTCAAATGGTGCCGTGATAGGTAGGATGGATTACAATTTTCTAGCTTATTAAATAAAAAAAAAAAGAATTATATGGAAAATAAGTGCGGATTCCAATCTACGCCAACGAATTCACATATGACACGAGAGAGACAGAGATGCATCAAATTGACATGGGAAAAAAGCTTTGGGTTGGTTTGATAAACAAAAGAGTTTTTTGATGGAACAGTCTCATAGTCGTGTTGTGTTGGCAAAGAGGTTTGACCGCACGAGCGGGGGCACACATACACACCTTTTTTTTTCTTTTTCTTTCATACACACACCCATCACCTATGCCTTTCGTGTTTATATAAAATATATTACTGGTGCATGTTCTGTGCTTTCTGTTGGTAGCGATCTATACATGGGCAGAAAGGTAAGGTGGAAATCTGGAGCCCCGGAGAGATTGTGCCACGAGTGCGGCCCTGACGTGAGAATGGACACGTGGAAAGAAAAAACAAGTGCCAGCTATATTATGCCTTCCCATGTTCAGAGCTGGGTTCTGTTTCTCACGTAACGCGTCTCACACTAGATACATTCCCGATGTACGGCAAAAACATGCTGTGAGCTCGGTGTGAGGCGGGTAGTGTCAAAGCCGATCCGGACTCCCAAGTCCCAAGTTCATTCACGACCCTTCGGAGTGTGTGTGTATTTCACAAGTCCCAACACAACACAAGACTACCTAACTACCATCCGTGCCTAAACCCATTCCCCATTCCCCGGAGCAGGAGTTCTGGCGGTGGCGGTGCCCGTCACGCGCCATCGGCCCATTCCGCCTCCGCGTATTATGAAAATTAATTAATGCCCACGTGCTGGAATCTTTGAGACATATTTCAGTGTGTGTGGAGTGGGGTGTTGCGGGGCGAGGGTACAAAGCTTTTATTGTTCGTTCGGGACTTGGGCTCACTTGGTGGGTCCCGCCCCTATATCTCGCCCAACTGTCGCTGTCGCCTCCTTACCCAGTTACCCTCTTCTTTTTTTTTTTAAATTTTAATCCAAGTATTGGAATGTGGATTACTGTTACATATTACTAGTACACTGCATACTGGTTTCATTTGGTAACGAGATGCCAGCTGTGGCAAGTAATTATTAATATTTCCCTGATCTGAAAATTCATCATCTCCGACTCCGGATCTACTGCCTACGAACTCTGCCCATGCCTATCCATAATACATTACCTCCTCCCGTGAATTAAAAACATCTCTCTCTTTATAATATTATATAGAGAATGAGATATTCTCCATGTATGATTAAGATAAACATGAACAGAGCAGGGTTCCGTGATTAAGAGATCCGGGTTTTTTCCCTTATGCACGCACCGGGAACAGGATCAATGATTCAATATGCCCCTTCCAAGTAATCAATTTTCTTCTTGTTTATAACATGTATATGCTCCCGTTCAATTCATGATGGGCCGGTGAGCGTCCACCAATGACCCACCTAAGAGAGAAAGAGAAAGGGGGAAGGGGAGAAATTGTTGAGAACCCTTGTGTATGGGGGTTACACGTGGAGACTGAGATATTGATGCAGGTTTATCGAAGGGTCAACATTCTCACCTCTCAGGAGTCAAGACTGCGCTGCATCATCATCCTCTTCCGTGTTAGTCATGGTCACGTAAAATGAAAAAAAATCATTTATTGTGGGTATGAATTTGGACTAATAAGTATGGTAGTAGGTTGCCCTGCCCAAACTAAATAATAATAAATAGATAACGGGCCTCTGCCCCCAATTCTAAGGGAATAAGGCTTCCGACTTCGCGCCTGGATGGCTGGATCATAAATACCCTGATCCTGCTCCTGCTTTCTATTCTTTAGAAACCGACTTATTAATGATTTATGAAGCTTCTGAAACACAACAAGATAATGACAACTTATATCACGGGTTCTGTCTAATCACGTTTACAACTTGAAGGAACACCGATTCACCAATTAATATGTTGATTACAACACCAATTACATACCCTGACTTCATCTCACCGGGACGGAAAAACCATCCAAAGGCATTGGGATSCCACATCATCGGGATTTCACATCTGCGCCCTCCATCATCGGGTCAAAATGTCAACTTTAAATCAAAATCACACCAGAATGTCAGATTTTGATGATATTCCAATTGATGGTCTTTTTACTCAAATTTTTTCAAAAAAGTACGTTGTACCATAGTGCAAAATTCTGAATTTTGAATTTGATTCAATATTCCATACATATTGAAAATTAATATCCAAATTCGAATCCAATTAAATATTGGAATGTTCGATTCAATTCGAATTTGATTAATTAATTATTTTAKATAATTAATAAATATATAAAATAAATATTTTATTGATATAAAGTATATAAATATATAAATTATTTATATAACTTAATTATATATATATATATATAAATTATATAAAATATTTTACATATTGTATATAAGTATTAAATAATCGTTCGAATTTCGATATTTATCGAATCAAATCAAGTCATATCCGAATTCGAATCCGATTAACTATTCGGTATGAATAGGATATCCGAATTCAACCGATTAGATATTCAAATTATCCAAATTCAATTCAATTATGTCGAATATCAAATTTGAAATCGGATTTTCGAATATCGTTGACACCCCTAATCTTACATAATTTAAAACGACAAATAACTTCACCCTAAAATATCAATACCCGCTCGTATATTGGCATCAATTCCAAGCTGACACCTACCCCAACTATACTGTGGGGCTAAGAATTCTTAGGGTGTGTTGAACAATCATTCTCCCAAATTTTTTCCTTTGTTGATTGTGATGAATTTGCCTTTGTACACCCATTCATGCTTTGGTGCATGGGTATTTAGATAAAATTAAATCCATTCTTTAAATGGTGCACTAGAATTGCTATTGGTCGAATGTGATTTGCATGCCCAATGCTAAGCATACATGTTGAGAACTTCATATCATTATTTAAACTCTTTATTATTAAAAGGAAAAATTCCCAATTAGTACCTTGTGCTTTGGGCCTAAATGTCACTTTGGTCTTTGAACTTTAAAATGCAATAATTTAGTACCCAAACTTTTAAAATGTGCCAATTTAATACCTATTCATTAATCAGTTGTTAAGTAGTTGCTAAATGGCATTTGAAAAGGCACAAATTCTCTTTAAGTGTCATCTAATTTTCTTTATCGACCACTCAAATGTTGACAAAAAATAAATAGTCCCAAATCCTTGCCTCTTCTATTCTAGAAAGTTGGGGCCATGTCTTAGTGGGCATTTTGGTGACCCCAACTTTCTTGAATAGAAGAGGCAAGAATTTGAGACTGTTCATTTTTTCTCAACGTTTGGATGATTGATAAAAAAATTAGATGACACTTGAAGGGCATTTGTGTCTTTTCAAATGTCATTCAATGGTTGGTTAACAAATAGGTACTAAATTGACACATTTTGAAAGTTCCAATACTAAATTGTTGCATTTTAAAATTCAAGGACTAAAGTGGAATTAGACCCAAAGTACAGGGTACTAATCGGGGATTTTCCCTTATTAAAAATTGTAAATAATCTATTAAGTGATAATTATCTCCTTAAACTTTCATTTGTGACAAATATCCTCTCCTAGTTTAGTTAGATGACAAAAATGCACTAAATTATCAAAATACCCATTTAAACTTTTTTTATTTCATTTATTTGCCCTTTTCTCTTAAATCCTAATTGATTAAAAAATATATCAATTTCTCCTAACAAAACCAGCTAAAATAAGAAGAATCATTTCATTGATATAGAAAAATAAGTTTCTTTAAAAGTTTAAACTAATGTTTTCATTTCACTGATATGAATGTCTCTCTTCATCTTAAAATTTGAAAATAAATCAATAAAAACAAAATAAAACCTTAAAATTATATCTATAAAAAAAAGGCTCTACCATTTCATTTGAATATTGAATCCAACAAGAAATCTATAAAGATCTATTAGAGCAATTAAGAGAACTTCAATATTATATTTAGAAAACTAATTCAATAAAAAATCATTCAAATAAATAACAAAGGATAGTTTAGGGATTTGAAAAATTTTAAACAGCTAAATGATTTTTTTTTTGAACTTTAACAAAGGGTATTTATTGCAAAGTAAAAGGTAATAGGGGTCTTTGTAACAAATAAAACTTCAAAGTGGTAATTCCGTAACTGTCAGTCTGTAAACTGACCCCGTATATGGGAGGGTCTTTGTAATTACCCAAAAGAAAGAATCGTTTCAGTGGCATCTAAGTAATATTCAATTGAATCAGGGGTACTAGAAGCTAGTGCACACTTCCCTAAAACACCAAAAGCAGAACGTCAGAACTCAAAACTCACTAGAGAAGCAAAGCGGAGGATCAATATTCAATAAGTAAAGCCAGACAACAATCTAATAACGAAAGAATCAAAAGTAAACGCTTTGACACTTGGCACCAAAACATTGGTTATGAGAATCCATCGTAGTCAACTCCTCGTAGCTTTAAAAATAAATAAAATAAAATATAACCTCCGCCTTGTTTTTAATTTTGATCCCTCGCTCGTCCGGAGATTCTCTCGTGGACGTGGATCTATCTTTTTGTTTTTCTCTTATATTTCAGAAAAAAAAAAATCACACACAGTCATACATGCAGACGAACACAGAAACTAGAACATAACAGATTGATCACTTTCTGTTATTATTATTTTATATAATAAAATTTATATTTTATTTGTTTACTTAAATAATTTCACAGCTTTCTTCTTTGAAACAACTACAGCCAAATAAAGAGAAAAAGGCAAATTCATACTTCAAGAGAGAAGAACAGTAAAGCGTTCGGTGTTCTAACAATAGAATCTGTTCGGCCCCATTCCACCAAAACCTTCTTCTTTCTTCCTTTTCTTTTCGACTTACGTTTTCAGGAGAGATTAATTTCATCGTTGTTTTTCAACCGAAATTTATTCACAAATCTAAAATCTCACTATCGATAAGAGAAAATGACAATGGTAGAGAAAGAAGCTGAGGGAACAAAAATAGAAAACCTGAGAGATTGATTTTCTTGCTTGCTGTTTATTGGCTGGAGGAGAACAATGTCGGTAAGTAATTCTATTGTATGCACAGTGTTCTTCTTTTCTTATATCAATCGCATATGACTATGAGAAAACTAGATCCTTTTTTTCGGGTTTCTAATTTAAATAAAACTTTAACTTTTGTATCATTGTTGTCCATTTTGAGTTTCGATGTGGTGGACCTGCTTGGATCCTCTGTTATTCAGTAATATCTACCTCGGTTTTCAACTTTGTTTTCCTTCTTTTTTTCCCTTCTTTGGTCTCTGTTTCATTGGATCCCCGTTCATTGACACTATTCTACCTTGAACTTATCAATGGAGAGTAGAATTTCTTTCTGTGAAAATCTAATATGGATCAACTGCTACAATTGAATCAAGAAAAAAGAATTTTATTGGTGTCCGAGCAGAAAACTCTTTCTAATTTCATGTTTCAAATTATGCTTGCCGCCGACATAAAGAAAAGGGATCCCGATTAGTAATTGATGATGTTTTCAAACAACCCAGATTCTACTCTCTTTAGAAAAGGTTATTTGGCTACAAAAATTCCTGCTTCAATTGACATGTTAAGGACTTAAGGTAAAGGGAACAAGAAATTTAGAAATTTGTCCATGAGGCGGATCTTTTTAGAGTCACAAGGCAACTAAAGTAAAAAATAAATAAAAATAAAAATTAGAGGTTGATCACATGTTAGACCTACACTTTTGACCCAAAAGGAGGGAATCATCACAGCTTCTTCTCCAAGTTGATAGTCTCATTTCTCTTTTTTACTTTCACATATAGTTCATGAATGTGGCTTTAATTTCTTGTGCTTCAGTTTTCAAATGTTATTGTCCTCCGGTGGCCTCATGTTTATCAAGTTCTTGCTTTATTTTTGTAGCGGATCAAGGCGTATGAATGATTCCAGTGGGGGATTTCTTCAGAGCACAATGACATACGGTAATTCAAGATCGGTGAGGTATGTTCTTCTTCGGTTTCACAGTCATAGATTTGAAAAAAAAAAAGAAAAAGAAAAATCCTACCGTTTGTTATTGAATTCTGTATATATAAAATGATGAAATGTGGTTTGGTTTACCCAATTTCTCAGATTTCAAGATGATCCAGAAGTTGCAAAGTCCACACCAAGCAAAGGTGGTCATGTGATTAAGCTCATGTACAAGATTGATGGCACACAAATACCCGAGACAAGCTTTAGAAAAGCCGAGAAGGAAGTGGCTCAGAAGTCTGGGAAGTCATTAAAAGCTAAAGTGCTGTCGAGAGTGTTGTCTGAGGACTATGAGAGAGTGAAGAAGAAGATATTGGACCCTCGAGGCCCTTTCATACACAGATGGAACAAAATTTTCTTAGTAGCCTGTTTAGTTTCCCTTTTTGTGGACCCTCTGTTGTTTTACTTGCCGGGGGTTCGGAAGGAGGAATGCATAGATATAGATACGCCACTCGAAGTAGCACTCACAATTGTAAGGACTGTAGCCGATGTATTTTATGTGGTTCAGATTTTTGTCCGGTTCCGAACAGCTTATGTTGCTCCTTCCTCTCGTGTATTTGGGAGAGGGGAGCTTGTTATTGACCCTTCAAAGATTGCTTCTCGGTACCTAGGCAAGGGCTTCTGGATTGATCTTCTAGCTGCTCTGCCCCTTCCACAGGTATGCCACTAATTACACCTCTCTCTCTCTCTCTAGCTTGCATTCCTTTCAAAGTAGGAGGAGGATATATAACTGAATTGTGGCAAGGTGAGAAAAATTTTTCCCCTTGTATGTTGAAACAGAGTTTTCAGTGCTGAGTGCCCCTGTTTCAGTTCTAGATTCTCAATAACTCTATGGGCCTTCATTGAGCGACTGAGAGCAGCTGGTTATGAACTTGGTGAGATACTGAATCATGGTTTTGGGGTGGGGTTTAGAAATTTTGTAATTCCCCATTTCTCTTCATGATTTATTGGGTCTCAATTGGTTTAGTGAGGCTCAGTGTAACTTTGTGGGGATTGCCACAAAGTTTTAGAACATTGTTTGAGCTGTTGAAGTAGTTAATTTTGACAGTGCCGTAGTATTTCAAGGTTCAGATGAAGTAAGAAAAGAAAACCTTTTTACATGTTTCAGGTCTTAATTTGGGCTGTAATCCCAAATCTAAGGGGTTCAACAATGACCAATACCAAGAATGCTCTTCGCTTCATCATTATCTTCCAATACATCCCAAGGCTGTTTCTTATCTTTCCACTCTCATCACAAATTGTCAAGGCTACTGGAGTTGTGACAGAAACAGCTTGGGCAGGAGCTGCTTACAACTTGATGCTTTACATGTTGGCAAGCCATGTGAGTACCTTATTTAATTGAACCAGAAACACATGCAACTATCACTAGGTTTACATGTATACTGACATATCAGTTGGCCCATGAAGCTTTAGTCGATAGGTGGAAACTGTGTTTGCATATTGTGTTTTCAAGAGCTTGGTGGGGAAGCAGAGCTAAGTTGAATCATTCAGCTTAAGTCACTGCACCTAACTGTTTCTGAACCTAAATGCTTGTGTTTCTATTGGTATCACATATTGGATGTGAGATCATTGGTATTTCTGAGGTGTGCAGGTTGGACTAAATCATCAAAAAATTGCAATTCAACATTCTGCTTAGATCAAAGCTTTACAATGATTTTTTTTTTAATGAAAATTGGTTGTAGTTTTCTGTCTAGGCTGAAAAGCTACCATGAAATTACTCATTTCTATGAAGGTGCCAGATGTATCACCCACTATTTACCTGGAATTGGATCCGACCTTCACCCTTCCCAATTCCAGTCTCTCTCTCTCTCTCTCTCTCTCTCTCTCTATATATATATATAGGAGTCTGTTGGTATACCTGTTATCAACAGAGCAGAAAGAGACATGTTCGATCTGTGTTGAGAATCCATGCTGCAAATATGAATTGTTCAGTTGCCTAGAATGCAGGGTCACCTGTTACTCGGATTACATAAATGCTTGTGTTTGATCCCAATAAACTTGTATATGGGACTTTGGTAGTTGATGGGTGGATCAGAACTCAGAAGTTAGGTTTGGCCCTGAGTAAACCATAAATAACATGTTCTTGTGTAACTTTGGGCTTAGCTCAGAAAAATATCTTTAACGACACTGGTGGTGTTTTTGTATGAAGTTTGATTATTAACTATAAAACCGATCACTTCCTATGTTTGAGAAGGTAATAGGAGCCTGTTGGTACCTTTTATCAATTGAGCGACAAGAAGAATGTTGGAGAAAGGCCTGCAGCGTTGAGAGCTCTGGGTGTCAATACGGGTTCTTTGACTGCCGTTTGATGGATAAGGCTGATAGGGTTGCCTGGTTCCAATCGAGCAATATCACGGATCTGTGTAATCCGAGTAGCAGCATCCTTGAGTTCGGCATATATGGAGATGCATTAACATTTGATGTTACATCCTCCACATTCTTAAGCAAGTATTTCTACTGTCTTTGGTGGGGCCTCAGAAACTTGAGGTAGATATCTTTTCCTTATTCCTTGTTTATCCTCCATACTTGAAGAAGGATGTAATGTTATATTTGTATTAGTAAATTAAGGCATTATGTTCTATCGACCTGTGCAGCTCTTTAGGACAGTCTCTATCTACAAGCACTTATGTTGGAGAAATAAGTTTTGCCATCATAATTGCAATTCTTGGCTTGGTTCTTTTCGCATTGCTCATTGGGAACATGCAGGTAAGTCTAACCTGTCTGTCATGGATTTTCCTCAAACTAATCTCTTGGGTTACTATCTGTTCTATTATTGTGAGTTTGATTTCATGTTGGATTTGTGGAGCAAAATTGGCCTTAAAAAGGGATAAACTCACTTCTAGGAATGGTGGAACTTGGTTGTTCATTATTTCATTCGTTCCTTCTCTTCTTTTTGGGGACTCTCTTCTCACTAAATACCACTTAGACCGGGACCGGATCTACTAGTTACAACATAGTATGCACGTTAAATGAGCACTTGATAAAATATTAAGTGGGTATTAATCTTTTTCAAGTGTAGGCTGGGGGTATTTTAAGGGACAGGTTTCAAAAAAAAATTTTAACTACTCATTTAACGTGCTTACAACGTTGTGCCTACCTGCAGATCCCAACTGTCCAAACTAAGCCTTATGAAATTAGATGAAAATTAGTCTCCTAAATCTGCGCATGTACCAGTGTTTGGGAGTGGTTTTCCTCTCTAAACGGGCTCTTGAATAATTGCTAATTTAGATAAGCTCATTTATCTGACTAATTGAGCATTTGCTCTGACGTTATAAACGGGCTTTTCTGTAATGAAAGGGCTTCTCCAAAACGTAAGAAGCCAAAAGCCCAAAAATTTTTTCTTCTTCTAAATGGGCTTTTTGGGCTTTCTACCAAACCAAACGCCAATTCGGGCTTTTTTTTTTTTTGGGGGGGGGGGTTGTTTTCGGCTTCTAACAAGCAATATGCCCAGCCCAAACTCCCAAATGCAATGATTGGGCTGATTTCCAACCTGCTGCAAGTCAGTGAATGAGCTCTTAAATCTTTTACAGACATACCTGCAATCAACAACTACCCGATTGGAAGAGTGGAGGATAAAGCGAACTGATACAGAGCAATGGATGCGTCACAGACAGCTACCTCAGGAACTGAGGCAGTCCGTACGAAGGTACGACCAATATAAATGGGTTGCAACTCGGGGAGTTGATGAAGAAGCTCTTCTCAAAGGCCTACCCATGGATCTCCGCAGAGACATCAAGCGCCACCTATGCTTGGACCTTGTTCGACGAGTCAGTATCGATTGTATATGTTTTATATATGGTTTTCTCTTTTCATGTTATTGAATTTTAATCTGTCTGACTTGAAAAAAAAAACAAAAAAACAGGTGCAACTGTTTGACCAGATGGACGAGCGGATGCTAGATGCGATATGTGAGAGGCTGAAGCCTGCGCTGTGCACCGAAGGGACGTGCCTAACGCGGGAGGGTGACCCAGTGAATGAGATGCTCTTCATCATCCGAGGCTCCCTGGAGTCTAATACTACCAATGGTGGTCGTACGGGGTTCTTCAATTCATGTCGCATTGGCCCCGGTGACTTCTGTGGCGAGGAACTGCTGACATGGGCGCTTGATCCACGCCCAAGTGTCATCCTTCCGTCGTCCACACGCACGGTCAAGGCCATTTCCGAAGTCGAGGCGTTCGCACTCATTGCCGATGACTTGAAGTTTGTGGCGTCGCAATTCCGTAGGCTTCATAGCAAGCAACTTAGACACAAGTTTCGGTTCTATTCGCACCAATGGCGCACATGGGCTGCATGCTTCGTTCAAGCAGCATGGCGTCGGTTCAAAAGAAGGAAGGATGCGGCTGAGCTCAAGTCTCGGGAGAGCCCCCAGACCGCCTCGCCTGCCCCGGTTTTTGAACGCACCGATTTGTCCAGTACCGTACCACCTATGTCAGGCTTCGCTGTGTATGCCGCACGGCTAGCGGCCAGTAAGAGAGGTGGGAGCAAGTCCTGTGGTTCAGATTCTAGCGTGGTTGCGTCGTTGCAAAAACCAGAGGAGCCTGATTTTACTGTAGAAGAGGAGTGACGAATGAAGCCATCTCGCGCTGGGTGAGCTTCACCTTCAAATGCGTGAAGGTGAAACAACCTACTACTCTTCACATGGTGTGCCTGCCATGCAGTAAGCATGTTTGTGTGACTGTATCTGTGTATGCGTGACTTCTGTGAATACTTTTTTTTGTCTTTTAACCTACGGAAGAGTAAGGAATTAACTAGTAGCTGATTGATTCATTTCGACATGCCTCAGGTGATGTTGAGGAGATGTTTTAACCAGTAAAGGCCGTAGTTTTAGAAGTTCTTTCTTGTTCCTTATACAACCCTTTCTCTCTCTGTCTCATAGTCATAGTCGATCCGAACAATTGATGATAAGGCTGGGAAGAATGGGACGATGACAATCGAGTTTTCTCTTGGTTTTTAATGCTAGCTAGGAAGCGTAAATAATTAACTATGTTGTGAGGTGTGCTAGAATTAGGGGACTAGTGTCTCTTTCCCCTACTGCAAAATTGTGGTAATCCATCCTGCACAGCAACAGTAATCAAGTAACGGAATTGGATATATATATATATATATCTGTTCTGCTAGGCAGAGTGCAATCAACCTCCAAGAATTAGAAATTGGGATGATTTGGTAACCCATAATATCATCATTTATCACAAATGCCTCTGAGTTGTGGGTGTGGGCTTACAAGTTGTGTCTTGGGCCTGGCTTGGTACTTATGACGGGCTTGCTTTTGTAAGAACAAGAAAAGAATTGGATCTTCTAGTCTACAAAAATCCCAATGAACATGGGCCTGAAGGCTTAAACAACACCTCTTTATCCATACAACTATTACTTTTACACCTTCGTCACACCTCAGCAAATATCCGACTCTCTGCTCTGGCGGTCGCAATTAGCCACAGTAGTTGGCCCTTGGATTGTGTACGGTGCCAGCAAGGAAAAGGGAGACACAGAGACGTAGACAAGCAACAATTTCTTTCACAGTGGAGTCGAGCTTCATTATTAGTCCCACAATAATGGCGTTTTTTTTAAGTGGGAAACTGGCCAACCGATTAGAACAAATATAGTGTCAACTTGCGTCATTTAGGGTTAGAAGAGAATATGGAAAATGCGAAACTCATGCAGAAAAGAGACCGAAAGAGATAGGGATAGAGATAAAGATTAGAGAAAGAGAGGGGAGGCACGGGCACCAACTACTGTGTAGTGGGCTGTGGGGGATGGTCTGTGTTTAGTGGTGGGAATGGCTCCACCATTTCCTTGATTAAGTTCTTAATGCGCATTTGGCAAATTTCAAATAGAAATTGCCCGTATAGATCACCATTTGAGATGGACAAGTGGTCCTCGGGAATTCGAAAAAAAAAAGGTGTGACCAGTGACCACCCCATATCTCAACCTGCAACGGTGACGCCTCCAACGGGCTTTTTTTTGAGGTTGTTATTAGCTTTCCAATTTTGAAAGAAACTGAGGGCCCATTTGGTTTGTGGGAACAGGGGTCTGGAATCGGAATCAAAATGGGCCATTCCGATTTCAATGATTAAGTTGAACGGAGCTGGAATCCCATTCCTATTTTTTTGTGGAATGATCAACATTCTTCCATTTGAGGGAATGGTTCCCTTGAGAATGAAATATCATTTTTTCTGATTCTGATTCCTGTCTGAATCAAACAGACTATAGAAATGAACCATTCTGATTCTGATTTCAAAAGATTTCAATTCCAATTCCAATTCCAACTGTAAACCAAAAAAACGCTAAAAAAGCTAAACTGAACAAAGAGAACAGAGAAACATATAGAGCACAGACACGATTCTCTTTACCATTTTTTGATCATAGCAATAATAAATGCACAACACGGACGTGGTTTCCTAGTCTGTAACATGTGCATGACGCATAAGAAGTGTTCTAATTGCGCGTGATATGGCTTTGTTGCTATACACCGATGTGGCAGGCTTTTTTTTTTTTTTTTTTTAATTTGGGCCAATTTGTGGTCCATGGTTTACTACTAAACTCACACTATTGCTAAATTGAATTTGGAATCACACCCAAGAAAGCAATTTAACTATAATCCTTAGCTGTTGAAGAAGGTTGATTGTGTGTTGACATGGTCCGCGGCCCATTTAATTTGTTACTCTCAGGGAGGGAAATGATTCAAAATGTAGGGCTGTTATCTTATCCCACTACTTCTTCTATGGGTGGGTTCATCATTCGTTGAGTTTTAGGTCCAAGCCCACAGTAGAAAATACTAAAACTGTTTGGTCAATAAGAAGATAGTGTACTTCATCTTTATCTTTTTATTTTGTATGTAACTGTTTGTGCAGTGSATGAACCATGAAGGGGAATAGTGCCAAGACATTGCGTTGCAGGGAGCACTGCTGCATCAATCACTCACTTTTACTCCCATGATCAGTTATAGTTAGTTTTTTTTTATTAATATTTAAGATATATATATATATATATTAAATTTTTATGTGATTATTATAATAGAAATATTTGAAGAACCAAAGCTGTATCTTAATAGGAACGGATTAACCCGAGAGTTTTTTGTCTGTGGTCATGGTTATCAAGTTGAAATCTCACAACTATGCTTATGTCAGACACCCGTGGGTTTATTTAAATAAGCATAGACTTTTCAATTGTTGGAAGACAATTTTACAGGGAGGCCCATTGACAACATTACTTAGATTAATTTATTGTAATTAAATATAATTCCATGGTTTGGATCATGCTCTATTTATTAAGTTTTGGCTGTATCTTCTTAATTACGCTGTCCATCATGTATTAATATTTTCATAAAATAATTGCCTATATTTTATTGCATTGGGATCAATTGTATAATTCTATCCTAAACCTGGTTATGGGTCTTAACTAATTCACTTCCAAACATTTCAAAAGTGGTTTTGGATGGAACAAAAGACAAAAGGAGAAAATGTGAGCCCAATGATTCTAGGTGAACTTTCAAAGACTGTAACCTTTGACTTAAAGCATAAGAAAATTTGAATTTAGTTCAGTAGGAAAAGAAAGTTTTTTTTTTTTTATTATTATTATTACGAAAATAGAGAGACAGGAACTAGTGCTTTTCTTTCTTTCTTTTTTCTGTTTTTTGTTTATGGGGATTTTATGCTTTGTCTTACAACACTTGTAATTCTCCTAGCCAATAATGGAATAGCAATAATAATTCCAGCAAAATAATTACTTAGAAGAAAAAAAAAATGTATTTGATTCTCTCTCTCTCTTTGCTGCAAATATGTATTTGAACTTGTATAATGAAGATAAAAGGGAAGATATTTACACCAAGAAAAAAAAAATATTTAACTCATGACCTATATGAAAAGCATGATAGATAGGGTGGTAGACACATTGATAGGCTGAAACATAAAATAGCACTTAAAAGAGGGACAATTTGAATCAAGAAGCGGAAAGAGTGGGCCCAAATTCTAAGTTAGCTCTCTCTCTCTCTCACACACACACACATTATCTGAGTTTGGGCAACGGTGTCCTTATCACGCTGGAATGCCTTTTGGTGTGTGCTATGTCGGTTGACATGGGCCCTCTTTGACTAATGACTATTGGCCCTATCAGCTTATGTAAGTTTGGAATACTTGTGAGAAAAGGAAAAGCAAACATAGAAWGAAATGAAAAGTTAATAGAGATAATAACAGAATAAACAAGTGCTTTTAACTTTTAAGCGGCTTAGAATTAAAAGCATTGATTAGTGATATAATAAAGCAAAGGTAGAAAATAATCATTTGATAAGGTGTTCATTAATTATTTCCTTTCTTGAGGTCAAGCCACTCATTATCATTGGATAAGACAATTTAATTGAAGGGTGAGACTGTGGTTAAGGCAAGGGGATATGATATCAAATCCCAAAGCCCATCTATCTGAATAATGTCCTTGACTCTACCTTGACCAACAAAAGCAAAATTAACAAGCTGTGATCTCTAAATTTCCCTTTTATTTTATTGTTGATTTCAGTTAGTTTTCTTCCAAAGTTGAAACCATAGAAACAAATTAGTGGGTACCACTGATTTCCCCTACATATATAGCCAAATGTCTCTAAAACAATGTAAAGAAGAGATATATTCAGAAACTTTTATATAAAGCTTTCAGTGGAGTGGGTGAAGATGTCAAATGTAACATAGAATCCAACAGAAGCTACATAGGCTTTCAGTCTGCCAACATTCAATGTAGCAACTCTTTTCTTTTTAAACTACTGTAGTTAAAAGACTGGTCATCTAAGAATAGTGAGGCCAAATGTAAGTGATTGATGATCTGCAGCAGAACAGGTTGTGTAGTTTCTTAACTTTGAAGCAGGAGGACGGGCTGATAGCTGAACCCCGGCCAGTCCCCAGATGGAGATTCTGACTCAAAGCCTTACCTTATCCATATCTAACCACTTTTTTTGGGAGAAAATGAATGTGTATAGAGCGAGGCATGCATGCAGCAGAGGCAGGGCAGAACAATTGAATCGGGATGCAGTATATAGGAATCAGGCAGTCCAGTCCAGTCCAGTCCAGTCCAGTAGTGGATAGAGACGACACTTGGATTAGCCACTCAGTCATATCTCCCGCTTTCCCACCATTTTATTACTTCACCCCAGAAAGGAGGTCAACAACATACTCGAGTTCCCAAGATATGTCGTGCCTAGCCACTGTTGTACATGTGTATGAGTTAGCCACCCTGCTTTGTGCTTTCGAAAGATATCCATGATGATGATGATAACAAGCAAGTTAGTGACAGGGCTGAGGACTCATCAAAAAGGGCCTCTTCTGATCATGGCCGTCATTAATTCTAAAGTATCACAGAGGGAGAGAGAGATGCCATTGATCCCCAGACAAAAAAACTCAGAACCCTAAAAATGCTCCTCTCCAATTATAACCTCTTCCCCAACACTTGTGCATGCCTCCATGTGCGAACCAACAACAAGATCCAACAACCCACATCATCATAACACAAGCCCATATTCATAACTCAATAAGTTGTGTGAAGGGATGGATGATATATTGACAAAAACAGATGGTCACTTTCTGATCTTGTACAGTAGCTTTAATTGGTTTTTCTTCTTGTTTTTCTAACAAAGGGCCTCGATTAATTAAAACCCATTCACTGACATCTTTAACTATTTCTATATGCATTGAAATTAATGAAGATTCATCCATTTTAATTTACAAAGGTTAAATATCTATATCTATATATGTATGACCCCATTCCCATTAAACAAAAGGTTGCATTTCCAT